CATATATAGTGAATTTAGAGTTGAATGCTTTGCGATCTCGAAAAATGTTGGACTAATTTAGTGAATAAAAATCAGATAGGTACCACAGTAAAATTGGAATATTTTGAGTCGTGATGAAACTTTCAAATGCCGTAAAATGTCATGCTTTTTGATAAGCAATTTCAATAATTGAAATAATTCAAAATATCAAAAATATGTATCATTGATGTATGCACCTATATTATTTACAATATCTGATCTTTTAATACATAAAAAATCTTAAATTAATTGTATACAAAACTAGCAAAGTTACACTTGCACGTTGCACAGTGTACTACATGTACGAGTTCGTAGCGTCGTAGCTCGTAGTGTCGTAGCTTCTAAGCTCGTTGATATCGTAGCTCTTATCATATATATACCTTATCAGAACGTTACCATCCGAGTGGCCAAATTAATGGTATTAATATATTCCAACTAGTTCACTCAACGACATTTTACGTAAAGATTGAGTCAACGATCAAATATTCTTTAATCAAATAGGCTTATTGAAAAAGAATCCTCTCTTTTTGCATAATGTTCTTATTCTAATATACTTTAGCATAATCGTTTCGGTGGAAGCTGCTGGCAAATACAAAATACATTGTTTTAAGTTTTTGCTTGCTTACTGATTATTATAAAATTATGATATTATAATTATAAAAAAAAAACTTTTAGAACCTGGGATGGGATCATATTAAAAATAAAATATAAGACACATCTTCACAAACCATCTTTTAATAATATAATTCTAGTAGAAAAATGGCGGTACTTCTAAACACCAATATTTATAGAAAGTTTACGCGAATGAAGGTAGAACTTCTCCTTTTCAATTTTGAATTAAATCAACTTTAATAAATTTATACGACTTACTCTTTTACTTCGATGACATATCCAAATAATACTTAGATAGATGACTATATATTATTCTTTATTTAGATATGAAAACAAAACCGATTTTGATGAAACTTCTATGGGATCATTATAATATTTACTCTAATAAATAATAAAAGTACTTTAAAATCTATTCATTAACCACGTCACTAGGTACATGATTTATAAACGCTTGTCCACAACGATACCGACCTACTCACTACTTGCTCATCTACTCACCGAGCTACTCACTACTAGCTCATCTACTCATCAAGCTACTCACTAATAGCCATTTACTTATTAGAAGCTCTCTAATGTTACTCATTAGTACCTCAGTGGCATAGTGGATAAGCGCCACGGTCCACAATCGCGAGGGTCGGTCACGGGATGGCTGACCAAGAAATTATTATCTCGAGCCACTCCGTCCTTAGGAAGGCATATAAAGCAGTTGGTCCCGGTGGCATTTGCATAATAAGTATTAAAATAAGGAAGGCCTGAGCCCCTGAAGTGGGGACGTAAAAGGACTGATGATGATGACGGAACCACGTAGTTATGATTAAACATATATGAAACATGGAAATTAGAAATAACAATCTCCTTTTTATTTTGAGTTCGGTTAAAAATGTAAATTCAGTAACAAAGATATCCTTCCCTTCATTGTTTTATACTAAGTATTGTCTATCATTGCCACAATCCTTAACAATCGGATGTATTTCAATATTCTTCTTATTCTGGAAAGCCTATTTTATGATAAAGTATTACATTAACGAATAATATGATCCGCCATTGTGGCAGTAAGTGCTATTAATAACGATATATCTCAATATATCTTACGGCGATAATTCACGAGGAGTAGTCGACGCTGTCTTTCTCAGTTATTATTTCTGCGAAAACATCATAAATTATAGTATTTATTCTGTATCATATAATTACTAAGGTCAAATATAAGAGTACAGCTTAATTTTGTGGTAAAACAAATTATGGAAATACAGAGAATATTTGCCGTCGGGTTTTTAGTTACTTTTACCCTATCTATCTATAGCTGACATAGTCCATTAATTAAGTTGTAAGTAAAAACAATGTATATGCTGTAACTTGAACTTTTTTTATCGATTTATACTTTTATCATCAATTTATTTACTGTCTATTAAAAGCATCATTTCCGTAATATCGGTAGTCTTCAACATTCACTCAAGTATGTTCAGATACATTGTCAATTGTTAATTTTCATTAACATATATTTAGGTTTAAAGGAACAAATAACATTATTTGTAAACGCCAGTTAGCTAATTTACACTTGCAGATGTTAAAAAAAAAAAATATATTGAGATAAAACTAAAGTTACACCTCAAATAGGACGCAGTGTAAACAAATAGATTAAGTATGTGCGGTGTGACACCGTACATTATTACTGTCATTTTATTTCAAAACACTTTATTTCTAAATGTAATTGTAATTTAAAGATAAACACATGTTAGCTAATGAGATTAAGTTTCCATTGATTTCATATCTATATCGTCATGCCACATTCCTTGCGGGGTAGGCAGAAAAGACGGAGAACTGGAAAAAAATGTATTTACATACATAATTATCCTTTATATTATGTACACAACAGACATGAACAACGGACATGAGACATAAATACACTCAAATATTTCTTTAAGTGATCCGTTTTCCTCTTTTGTGGTATGGAATCTTAAATATCGGTCGCAATTCTTATATATTTTGTAGCACTGCTATTATAATATTTTATTAAAACAATTAATAAACAAAATCATATAAATGAAGTTTTATTTAATAGCGTAGAAAATTACTCATCTTAACCAATTGATTTCAGCGATTTTACCCGCGTAATTTTTTATTAACGTCGGTTCAATAGTTTCGGGTCCTATTTAATGCAAACAAACAATAAAATCATTCCATTTTATAATATAAGTATAGATAAGTATGATTTAACTATTGAGTTTTAATAATTTAGAGTCTTTAATTATAATCATCGAGGTAACGCATCGTTAATGAAACAGTGATGTGCGTTAATCGTCCGCGTCTGTCCGCGTCCATGTACGTGCGATCGACACATCGATTCTGTACGAAACGTTCACGCGCCGGCGAGCGCTCGTTAAAGCGACCGACGCGCTTTATTACATTTGTTGAGTGCCGTTCACATCTTCACAAACGACCGGCCACACACTAAATAGAACTTTAACCCTGTCAAGATAAAGCTTCAAATTGCACAGCAGTAAACGTATATGAAGTTACACTGTTTGCCCTATCAGCTTGAACACTGCGTCGATAGGCTAACAATGTCGCTCAGTAGCTTGATTTTTAAATTTGATAATTCATTTTCATCGTTTACTTATTTGGTGCATTATTTTCTGTTATGGTAGTCTATAAAAGTAAGTAAGTAAAGTCTATAAAGACGAACGGCGAGGTAAACAATTAAAGTAACTTTGAATAAAGGAAATTATATTTTGGTCATCTTTTGACATGGTAATACATAATGTTATTGCAATGGCTATTCAAAAGTGTTGATTTTCATCATTAGAGTCAATATTGTCATCTGTGTATGATTATTTGCAGGTTTTTACTATAGATTGCATCGAATAAGGATAATATTTCCAGCTCTCGGTAGTTCAATGCATTTTTATAGTCGTTCGTTTTAAAATTATTCTGTAATCAAATTCAATCCAAGAAACATAATAACTTACCATATATGCTTAGGATAGTATGCAGATGTACTTCATACTATTATAAGCATATATGATAAGTTTACTTGTGTAATTATAGTTATTTGCAGAATTGAAATAGCAAATATGTGTTTCTAATTTGTGCAACAAAACTACTAACAATAGTTTGGATAGGAAGAACGCTGCTCACTTGAAGCTAAACACCGCAAAACTTTTATAATATAAGATTCTAGTTACGTTGTGATATCGTAACAAAATTATAGTAACACAAGCGGCACAGTGATCAGTTACTGGTGCCCGAGATGACGTATAACCGTGTTACACTTGTGCTGCTAGTGAGAGTGATTGATCTACTCGGTCCATGAACCGGTATTTTATAGATAATAAAATAAACTATACGTTGAACATCCGAGATATATGTTACTACGCTGATCTAGATTCAGTTAATTGGAGTGTTATTAAGAGTGGGCGCCAAAACAAATTATTGGGTTTAGAGAGTAGCGAAATGCGAAAAAAATATCACGGTTATTGTAAAAATGCTGCGTAAATCTTCAACTTTATGATGACACATATATCTATTTTTCCTTTATAAAGTTAATAAATACAAAAATTTACACTTTTTAGTTTAATTGAATGAATTTTCTACTAAATAAATTTTATAATTGTACATTTTGGAACTGAAATTTAAAAAAAATGTTTATATTAGTATGCTTTTTTTAAATAAGATAGTTACTTTAGTGAATTCTACAGAAATTACTCACATAAATTCGTCTAAGAATAATGGCAAATCATGTCAAAATTTGCTAGCATTTCAGAATGTGATATGTGATATGTTTCGCTTTTGATATGTTTCGCTTTTCCGTTTCATTTTGTTGGATGAATGTTTTTCGCTAGAGTAGTAAAAATAAGGGTTGTTTTCTTGTAGTTAAATATTATGCTTATGTTATTAAATGATTTCAATAAACAGGAAAAGACGGGTAATAAAACAAAATAGAAACCAAATGAGAAAGCTATATGTCAAAGACATCACAATAATATAATTCGACGGCTCCTAAGTATAGTGAGTCAACTAACAAATTTTGGGGTTTGCACTTTTTTACATATTCGTAACAATCAAACCATTTTCTATATACCATTGTAAAAAAAATATTCAAATTCCTAATAAAACCGAAAATAAAATGACGTACATTGAGTCAACTATATCGTTTCGTTATTTCACACATAGTAAACTGAGTCAAGTAAATAAATACCAGTATACGTCGGACGCCAATATGTCCAAATTGGTGCAAGTTGCAACTAGTTCAGTATTCGTCGATACGTCACTGTGCGTGCGTGCAATTCTGTAATTTCGAAAAATACTAAATACTTCTTGTTTTTTTCAATTTGTTTCATTAAATTTAAGTTGTGCTTCAATGGAAAGTGAAAATGAGTAATAGATCTCGAAAAATTATTGATTTAGTTACTAAAAAATATGACCATTGTAAAAGTGGACAAGAAAATATTCTAGAAATTAGTGATGTTGTCCAGAATGCAACGGAAAGAGGTAAGCAGTGTTAAATTATTGTTATATATGTAGCACATAAACATAGTTATAATTAATTTTTAGTAAAAACATTTAAGGTTTTAAAGCATGACTAAGTATACTAGTGTAACTGAAGATGGATCAGTATACGTTGAATATTTTTGGCTAATTATGTACTTGACTCATAAAACTGATTAGATAATATGCGTATTTTGACATCTGGAGGGTCTGCCTATCAACCAAGATTTGCTGGGTTTGCATACCGGCACTTCCAACTAACTTTTTTGTATTTGTTTTGTATAGGTTTGTGTCTTAGTTAATGTCCATGAATCAGGACCATGTCTCGAAGAGTACTAAATGGTTAGGAGTAGTAACATGATTTCCTATTAATTTCTATACATTACAATATTCGTTTTTCTTTTATAATAAAGCATATTGATTGCTTTTTTCAGATTCACCTTTACCTCCAGGTGCAAATTTCACCCAAGAACAGTTATCAATTCTGGATGACATTGATATTATGGAAGACACAGACACCTTATTTCAAGATCTGCCATCAAACTCTTCTATTTTTCCGAGTGATGCTGCTGAATTTTCACCAGTTTCTAACAATGAAAACTGTACTGAAGTAAGAATTATGCAAGCTACTTATTTAACATCACCAAGTTGTGAAAAAAGACACGATGATACTCCAATACCATCACCTTACGCTGATTTTTATCCTATACATTTGTGCGATGATACCCTGTCTATTGAAAGTCCTATATCGACATCGACACCTACTATTAATGATAACGACACAGATTCTTCAATGACAACTCCAACTTGTCGAAGCCACAAACGCATTTCGGCCACTAAAAAAGACAAAGGAAGACAGAGAGAACGCTTTTCAAAGGAGTGGAAAGATGAGATAAGAAAAAGGAACGTTAACAGAGGTTTACAATATATCAGCAGAAATGGAAAAGTGCATAATAAAAAACAGCCAAAACCTTCATGTCCAACCACATGCAGAAAGAAGTGCAATGAAAAAATATCAGAAAGTAAAAGAGCAAAGATATTTAGCATGTTTTGGGACATTGGCGATCATTCCAGACAGTGGGATTTTTTGACAAAATATGCAACTAAGAATGGAAAGAAGAGATTAACAACAGACCATGAAAATACAAAAAGATTGAGTACAATATCTTATACTTTACCTATTTATGAAGCCGACAACGTGACTATCAACAAAATTCCTGTCTGTAAAACCATGTTCTTAAATACTCTATCAATAAGTTTCAATTTCCTATATACAGCTTTACGTAAACATGAAAAGGGGCATGGCGTGGTTGAGTCCGATAAGAGAGGAAAGCATGGTCAACACATAAAAAAACTTACCGAAGATATGAAAAAAAGTGTACTTGACCATGTTGGAAGTTTCCCACTTGTGGAATCTCATTACACACGTAAAGAATCAACTAAAATGTATCTTGACGGATCTTTATCATTCCCTAAAATGTACTCGTTGTATGAAGAATGGTTTGATTCAACTAAGTACACAGATAAGGTGACTAGCGTGCGACAATATCGTGACATTATCAACAAAAATTTAAATATTAGTTTCCACAAACCAAAAAAAGATACCTGTGAAGAATGTCACATATTTGAAAATAACAAAGAAAAGACAGAAAAGGATATAGAAAAACAGACAAAGCATCTAACATTAAAAGATTTAGCCAGAAAATTAAAAACAGAAGACAAAGACTCAGCACAGCAGAACCCTGAAATACTTACAGCAGCCTATGATCTCCAAAAGTGCTTGAATGTACCCCATGGAAATGTTAGCACATTTTATTATAAACGAAAGCTTACCGTTTATAATTTTACTATTTTCGATATAGGATCTCGACAGGGTTATTGCTTTTCCTGGCACCAACAGACAGCTAAAAGAGGAGCAAATGAAATTGCTAGCTGTGTTTATCAATTTATCGAAAACACAGTCAAAGAAGGCAAAAAAGATTACCGATTCTGGTCTGATAACTGCGGTGGTCAAAACAGGAACAGGATCGTTTTTCTGATGTACATGATGGCATGTTATAAATATAAATACAGATAAGTCATCGTTTTTTGATTGTTGGCCACACGCAAAATGAAGGTGACAGTATGCACGCCTTAATTGAGAGACAAAGCAAGGACAAGATACTTTATATACCTGCCCAGTGGTATATGGCGTTTCAATTCGCAAAAACTGATGATAAACCTTACAAAGTAACGGAAGTGTCCCAAGATATAGTAATGGACTTCAAAGATATGCTCAAAAAGCTCAGCAATTGGACGTTTGCAAGCGATGGATCGAAGGTACAATGGAATAAAGTTACCGAAGTTTTGGTTAAACCAGAAAATTCGTACAAGATATTTTTCAAGACAAGTTTTATGGAAGAGTCATATAGCTGGATCGATTGCAGCAATAAACCAAAAACAACACGCAACAAAAAAACTCCTGATATTGAAGTTCATGATCTACAGCCAGCTTATAACCGGCCGATACCGATTGATAAAAATAAATACAAAGATTTGATGGACATGTGTAACAAACTAGTTATTCCAAAAGAATATCATTCGTTTTTTTCTAATTTGATTCAAACAGACAACAATTATAATACTGATTCAGAATAAGTAAAAACTTATTGTTCTTCTTAATATTTGTATTCACATATATTTATTGATGTACTTAACAAATACTTTTTCGTTTACAATAGTGATTTTCATAACACTAAAGTGATTATTGTGATATTAAAATACTAAAGTGTAACTGCATACTCGCTAATTCAAAAATATCATAGACAGCTTATTGCAAGTGATTAAGAATAAGTAAAAAAATATTGTTTTCGTAATTATTTTATTCATTAAGTACTTACCGAACTATAAGTTGATTTTTGTTTGTGACTTTTTACAGCGATATAAGTTTTTGATTAACCAAAGTTTTTGTTAAAATAACAATCATTTTCTTAAGATTAAAGTGATTATTGTGATACTATTAGTAAAAAAAATAATAAATGTCGAATAATATTAACAATTGAAAGATTATCTTATTATTTTCCTAAATTTGTATTGCACTTGACTCAGTATAAAACGACCAATTCCCAAATTATATCCATGCATAGTGAGTCAACTTTACATATTTCAACAAAAATAAATATCGACTGAAAAGTAATAATGTGAAACTAAAATATATGCGAAATCAAATATTATGTTATCAGTCTTATTAATTAAAATGTTTGCATTACAAAGATTTAGTGATCCAACGTATAAAAATGTAAGTGGTAGTTGATCCATTTTTACTTGAAAAATATTCAACGTATACTAGTTCATCTACAATATCTCATAAAATACTAAAATAATACTAAGTTGCATTTTTCTTGTTGAAAGGCCTTATTATGAGGATTCCATTATAATAAGTTTTTTCTTTCTAACTAATATAACAAAAAAATTATGACCTTTTGCTCTTGTTTTGCCCGTCCTGTAAAATTTATCAAAAGTCAGTTGACTCACTATACTTAGGAGCCGTCGAATATTACGTAATATACTTCAATACAATATTCAATATATAAAGTGGCTGTAAACAAAACACATCTTTATATGTTTTTGTAAAAGCCTTTTAGTCACAAAGGAACATATTTCAAACTTACAAATAAAGATGCTGATCAATGCGCCGTTTATTTGTATAAAGAAAAAAAGAACAAAGGAGCCACTTAGTACAAACTCGAAAATAGTTTAAACAGACTTATTCCTGAGAAAAACAAAAAGCTAAGTGACGCGGATGCCAATATAAGGCAAAGTGTCTTGTTATGAAGGTGCCGTCGCGGAATACTATTATGATCATAATATCGAGGTTCAGAGGAGAAAGCCGGAAAAAAGGGAGTCGTGACATGATATATTGATGGACCTGAATCTGTGAATAATATATATGATCTCTACAGAACGTAATAGATAACTGGAAAACATATATATAATTAGCTGCATTATGTTAAAAATGAATCTTATAACATTACACTTAGATACGTATCTAATTCGTTACTTTTTTATATTTTAATTATTTCTCTTATTATACTTCTAGTATTATAAAAAAAAAAACAGATTTGATAGTTGAAATCAAATTAACTCTAAAACTATTGTGTAGATTTCAAAAATTATTTCACCAATGGAAAGCTACATTATGCGCGGGTGACATTAAGGTATACGCGGTATATTTATGCGGGCAAAGTCGCGGGAAAACAACTAGTAGTTAACACTATGAAGCTAATTTAAAATGCATCTTATATATGTACAGTCAGCAACAGATCAGGTTAAAGAAATTTGTCAAACCCCACTTGATTTTATGCCTTCATGTTTTGTGGGTAGAGTTTATAATCAATGAGAGAAATTTTATGTATGTATAGTGGTACCCTGACGTGTCGATTATATCCATTATAGCGAGTTCGCAGTTTCTTTCTTTCCTGGATTTATATGAATTAGGAACAAAAATGGCCGCAAAATTTAAAGAAGATTAATAGTAACGTAAATTCGGTGAGCATAAGTTCGCACTAACAAAATCTAAACTCAATGGTGACTGACTGACATAGTGATCTATCAACGCACAGCCCAAACCACTGGACGGATCGAGCTGAAATTTGGCATACAGGTAGATGTTATGACGTACTAAGATAGGATTTTGATCACTTCTACCCCCACCCCCAGGGGATAAAATAGGGGATGAAAGTTTGTATGAATCTTCTTAGATTTTCGACTGATTAATCTACTATAATGAATACGTCCGCTTAAATAGGATTTTGATAAATTCAACCCCCATAGGGATAAAATAAGGGATGATGGAGGATGTAAATGTATTAGTTTGAGCCTATCAGTACCTAATAGAATGAATAAATAAATATTCGTTAGAGATGCTGCTCAAAGTAACTTTACCACGCGGACGAAGTCGTGGGCAAAAGCTAGTATTTACATAAAATCTCTCAAGAGCGAACCGAGAAGTGTTCGATATAAAATATCTGTATTTAATTATTTATCGCGATAAAAAAAATTAACTTATTCTATCTTATTAAAATGTAAAGTTAATTATCAATAAGATATTATGATTCATTTATAAAATATCAACTTAACGTTTAGAATTAATTAATTGTTTAATTGTATTATTATCAAAGGAAAGCGTGTAATTTGAAATAATCGAATACTCGGCAAAAGCGTATCATGTTCACAGAATTGTTATTAAGGTCATGGCATAGTATATTTGATTAAATTGAAATTTCAAATTTTATGTTGAGACAGAACATCTCCAATTTAGTTACTTATTTTTAAAATCAAATCATTATAACTAATTAAGTCCAACGGTCTCATAGTTGTATGCCCGATTGCGCAATGGTTAGCGCGCTTGGTCTTCGATACGGTTGTTAAGCAAATTTCGCCGGATGGCCAAACGATGGGTGAAAACATGGGTGACCACAAATTACTATCTCAAACTCCTCCGTGTTTCAGAAGGCACGTTAAACCGATAGCCGGATTGTTGAGTGTCAACCACTGCAGATGCATCCATCTGCAGTGGTTGACACTCAACAATCCGCACTGTATCCGCGCAGCGTCATACTCCCTATTCAATTCGTTTTAATTATATAAATTATCAATTAATGATTTGGAAACATTGCGGCCATGCATCGATGGTTTCATCACGCCCACATCTAGAGAATGCGAAAAAGAAGATTGATGAAAGATATGTTTAGATATAATTTATTTCGATTCTAAAAACGGTTAGGAAAGTTCATCATTATTAATTAACGCTACTTGTAATATAAAGCAATATTGTACTAAAGATTTTGCTTATACTAGAAGGTTATTTTGTACAATACCATGTTAACGGCGAAAAAGTTACTCTAAATAAAAGCCTTCAAATTAGTAGAACCATAAATTCAATCAAATGCAGGCAAATAGAAAGACTAAATAAGCTGCAAATAAAACAAAGTAATTTAGTAACCTACATAGATTTTCACTTAAGATCGATGATCTTATTAAAATGAGACTATAGATTTATACGTAATTAGCTGACCCGACAGACTTTTCCCTGTCTTAATTTTGAAATTTTGCAGCACGCATTCTGTCAATTCTATGTCAATCGTCATATGTACATTTATACGATATTATCCAAAGCACTAAGGTTAGATTAGAAATAATTTTATATGGTGTTTTAGTATTAAATTTTTTATTCAATTTCTTTTTTTTTCTATCGTAAGAATAATACCTTCTTCTGACAATACCAAACATAACAAAAAAGAATTAACGAAATCGGTCCAACCATTCACGTGTGATGGCGTGACCAAGAAAAATAGGAATTCATTTTTATTTACATAGATTACAGCCTATTATGATTTTTTCTTTTCAAAATGTCTTTTTTACACATCGCACATGGCAAAATCGCATCATTTACAGGTATAGCCGTTTGCTAGACATAACGCTTTTAAGTCTAATAAAATAAACGGTATTACACTGAAACGCGGTTAAGGTAATCTTAAACATGAGACAAACATTTTGGATGCGGAAACCTAGAACAAAATTAACGACGCACCATTACAACTCTACGTGGCAAGAAAAATGATCTAAAGAAGACAGGACTTAATGACGTAATCTCCGACATTGCGAAAAGTAGTTGGAAATGGTTCAGACATGTTGTACATTTGGACTATGGAAGGCAAAACTACTTGTGGATGTAGTTGACGGCATAAGATTCGAATGGAAGAATATGAAAGAGGTGTACGTTCAAAAATTGATATAAAACAAATCAGAATGGGAGTTACGAGAGTTAGTGTCAAAAAACGGTTACATGCATCGTTGTGAGTCACAAAACGCTTGTCACCGAATCGATAGTTTCGTTCTCGTCCGATAATTGTGCACACGCACCGACGGTCAACAATTTTCACGTAAATCGCAAAAATGCGAACACTCATCGTAACACAGCGGAGCGATGGACGGGAGCCATTGAAGTTTTTGATGGAAAAATAGTTTTCGTGTTGGTGAATTAATTTGCTGTGACATT